GCTGCGTGAGGGGAAAAAGCAGGTCACAAAACATTCAACACGATTTGAACTAAACAAGCACAGAACCACCGACCTGATACGGCGACATATCGAAATCGACCTTGGACGGACTTGCAGGACGGGATTCGTCTCCTTTACTTTCATCCACCGTCTGACTCGTCAGAATAAGCTTCGTCAATTGTTGTATTCGTGCATTGAGATCTTTCATCGCTTTCGATTCGTCGATTTGCTGTGAAAAAAAAGGGGGGCGGGGTAGGCAAAAGTTGGTTAAGTCGCCTTAACCTCTCGACTGAATTGTAGTTGGGGACCCACCTCTCGAGCACTTAACCGTCGATTCCTCACTGGCGCCTCTGCCTCCCGCTCTGCCAATTTGTTCCTGAGCTCTTCAATCTCCTTGCGGTACCTTTCAATGAGAGCATCCGTGTCGACGACTTCCTTCTTTTTGGCGTTGAGTTGTACTCGCTTGATCCGCGATGCGAACTGTAACGTGCTTGTACTCTCTGTGACCGCGTTAGCATCTGGGTTGATAGTGCAAACGACGCTGATGCGAGCATCGCCGGAGAGAGAGGGCTGAAGAAGACGCGTGAGTTTTGAGTTGCGGTAAGGGACGTGATCGCTAGGGAAAGAAGAGATGAGTGCTCTGCTTGGACGAGGGCGAGTTGGAACGTACCTTTTGCTCTTGGCGGCGTTCTCTGCGAGAGTACCAATGACACTTCCGAGAGTAAGAAGACTGTCAACGTATCAGCGCGGAAACGCAGAGCATCGGTGCTCGGTAAGAAAGATACCTTGTGTTGATATACTTGCCCTCCCGTGTCCTTTCCTTGTCTGACGTTGCTTTCTCCGATCCCGCAAGGTCAATCAGACTCTAAATACAATTAGGTCGGTACTGCCACTTTGACCACTTTGAGGAAAATAGCAACTCACCAAAACTGACATCTGCACACTCCTACCTCCGATCGTCTGCAGTCTCGTTCCACCAGGGGTCGGTGGCCTCAATCCCGGTGTCTGTCTGCCACTCGCCTCCGACTTCCCCTCGCCCCTCTCCCTACTTTCTATCACAAGCCTGAACACGCTATGACTGCGACTACTCCTCTCGTTCCAATCCGTGCTCGCGGTCCTCCGATGCCTCTCTCCCCGCTCCATCACCTCACGTACACCCTTCAGACTCGTGACGACTTCCTCTCGAAGTGGCGCCAGCACACCTTGGCCGATGATCTGCACGGGCTGTGTGGCCGAGACTGAAGGAGGGGAAAGGAGGTCGTAAATGGTTTCATTATAGATCTCGAGGTAGGAACAGCGGAGAAGATATTCGCGTGTCGATGTTCGCCTGATATGAGAAAAGACATCTTTCATGGCCCGAGGAATTATACCTGGTTGGTCTTCGTTTCCGGACTGTGACACATGTCGGATTAATCCTGGAAAAGGCCTGTAGGGGAATGACTCACAAGTGTAAAGGTCTTTCCACTTGCCGTTTGTCCATATGCGAATATGACAGCGTTGTATCCTTCCATTGCAGCCCATACATGACTCCTTGCGACTGCGTTATATATGGGTTTGTTTTCAGACCCTGTGAGGACCTCGTCAAAATGGAATTCCGGAGCAGCTGTGAGTGTCGTTTTGGCGTGTTGGGGTAGGAGCTTGATTGCATGGGGAACGGAGCTGTCCCAAGCTTGATGTCCGTTTGTGGGGCGAATTCTAACGGAGAGTTGATGAGAACGTGACGCGGGTCACAAACCTGGATGACAACGCACCGAATAGAAACGAGGACCTTGTCTTCTTTCCCGTACTCGGGAATGGGCAACTGCCCCTCATCGATGTCCGCCGAGACATCTCCCGCTTCGAGGCTCTGAAAGTCTACGAGTGCTTCTTCCGGGTCAACCCTGCTCACATCCATGGACATGTCTGCTTGGCCCATAAATAAGCCAGGTCCGGGGCTCGTTCCTCTAGGGGTAGAGGGTGTCTTGGGTCGTGAACCATCATTTGGTTTAGTGGGAATTCCGGGAACAGGTGCGAGTGAAGAATGTACTGAAGATTTGGTCGTGCGAGCTCGAGACTCAGAGGAGAGTGCGGCCTTGTATTTTTTGGTGGTGTTGAGGATAGACGGAGTCGAAAGATCGCTGCTCGAGGATACAGAGAGGGGACGCTTGGGGGTAAATGGAGCCGGGCGAGTTAGTTTGGAAGTTGAGGCTGTGTTCATCGTCGAGTAGTTTCTTCCCTGCTCGCTATGGGAGCTATGGTAGTGATTTGTCGCCGCTGTCGTTGTCGCCGCTGTCGTTGTCGCCGCTGTCGTTGTCGCCGCTGTCGTTGTCGCCGCTGTCGTTGTCGCCGCTGTTGTTCGTGGTGAACTTGGCTTGATCAACCCTGGGAAACTGCACAAGACGCGTGGGCCACTCGACGCGTCGTGGTCACGTGAATCCAACGCCTGCCCGGTTCTGCCTATACCAGCTGCCCTTGAAGCCATCAGCCTGAGGGCGAAGTCAACGTAGGCCAGTAGGTTGGGGTCTGTCTGACTTGACGTGGTATGTATCGGTACCAGCGTGTGTGGTGCATGTCTATTACATCAACTGAGTACGTCAAACCAGTCGCTGAAGCATTACTCACTGATTAGTCTTGTTGCTTGCAGGCGGAAGAGTTAAAGTTGAAGTCTGAGAGGAGGGACTCCATTTTTCCCACCAAAGATACTGCTAGCAGTCCTATGTAATCAACAGCGACTGAAGGTCACCAAGCCTCGTCGACCATGCTCGAGCTCGCTCCACACTCAAGGTGCTACTACAAACGGTGTGTCCCCAAGTTAACTAACTCAACCTACCACAAGCCAAAGTAAGTACGTGATCAGCAGTAGTTGCCATGCTCTTAGTTTTAGTAATACTATCCACCCCTGATCTGATGTGACTACCTATTCGGGGAGGACATGCACGAGGTAAGCGCCATTCATCTGTCCCTGCAGTCCAGAGCCCAACCACGGTGGATTAAGGGCAATTTACGCACGCCAAAACAGCCACATTTTCAGCCTTCTATTACCTTCTTCCTTGCCTCTTGCTAATGAAACTTCTGGGTTCTCGATATCCCGTCTACGTCGTAGTTAAAAAGTGTGGACTATCAAGTCCCTCTCATATCATTTGAACTTGTTAGCCCCACACCGAGCAGTTTTACCCGGGGCACTCGACTCTCCAGGTGACAAACTGGCCCCTGTCAACAATACGAGGCAATACAGCGATAGGGGTTGGGTAAGAATAAGGTTGCAGTACTTTCGCTTGCCTTCGGGCAAGCCGAGTGTGGAGACTGGATCGGGGAAAGGGGTTTTTCATTCAAGTGGGGTGGACAAAGCGCCTCCGCGACACGCTCTACGAGATCGAGGACCCGGGCACCGCTGCAGGTGGATTCGTCCAGGCTGTGTCCTGTGAATCAACCGAGTAAGTCGGCCTCACTGGCAATTGCCGACTTAGCCAGTGCGTTCATTGATACTCTCGTTTCAGGGGCAATTAGTGAGGTGGCAGAAGGGGGTTAACGCCGCACGAGCAAGCCTGCTAACACACACTCTCATTGATCGTGACAATGGCGCTGAATGAGAGACTTGCATCCTACTCTGTTCGGTTTGTTGAGCCGATGTTCACGAATGATATTGGCACACCACTTCCATCTGGTTCCGCCCCCGCCAAGTCCAAAACCCACCCCCAGAATTTTCCTCGACGCTTCGTGTCTAGTACGTGAGTTTTCGCAATTCTCTTGAAGAACTGCCGCCTTGCCCACACGAGCTTAGGTGTGACATTGTTAAATGATGTTTCACAAAGCATGTAAAAGGTTTGTCCCTTCTGAGCAGTGATCAACTAGTGATCGCAGTTGGCAGAGGGTGCCTTCGAAGAACCCCAGGAAAGATGAGCATGATTCATAGAATCTAGGAAGATGTCGAGCGATTCCCATTTAGATCAACTCAAGCGCCGAGTTGTTCCATTGCTCCCAAGAAGCGCTGTCTGAGGCGCTCGTAAGTACCTTTTATCAGGTTCCAACACCACACTTCCCCTGCGCTTCCCTCATCTCCTCAATCCTCTGTGAACCTTCCCTCGACAGTATCCGACAGTTTGTCGTAGACATGAGCAAAGCAAGACAATATCTTCGGGTAGGTTACAGGTTGCCCGGGTGAAGTGACAGGGCTTAATGTTTCAAGCTCGAGAAGCAGAGGCGCGATAAACAGGAGCACCACCACGTCTGCGAAAACTCGTTTTCAGTGTCCCTCAGCGATGTCCCTCGGATGAGGTGGGGAGGTTTCGCGACGTTTCTGCTCCAATCAAGCTCCTCATTTGCTCTCTTCCGGGGCAAAGACCCGAAGAAGAAGGAGCCCGAACGCCTCACAAACGATGTGAAAGAGGGCTCAGTGAGTGCAATCCGGATCCCGTGAAAGCGCTCTCATGATTGTGATTGTCGATTGCTCAGAATAAAGCTCTTCCACGTGGGGTCGGGCCCTCGCCACGATCCTCACCACGGCCCTCACCACGATCGCCGCCACCCGTGTTGAGTAAACACTGCGCAAGGATGTTCGTCGTAGTAAGTGCATACTTGCTGATCAATATGAAGAACCTGAAAGATTACCTCTGCAGAAACGAAGAGATGTAATGGATGATTGACTTGATTCACATAATCCATTGTCGCAGAACGGTGAGTTGAGTCCAATCTGCTATTTCGACGCAGCATATCTGACAAGACCGGTGGGAAATAGGTATCCTTCAGCATCTTCAACATTACGACCTCAGTTATGATTTTCCGTGTTTGAATGTGAGACGTGGCATTGAATAGGAAATAAACCAGAGGAACTTGTTTGACCCAGCGCAGGCATGCTGAGCATGGCCGTCTGGTTTATCTGGGTGGCTGTGGAGTGCTGCTGGTCCATCCGATCTGGAGAAGTTTGTGCTATTCCTTGCTTGCGAATCTGAGCTAGTTGGTTAACTGTGCAACACATTGCACTGCCTTGCTCTGTTATAATCCCCAGTACTATGGATGGTGTCGGCTTTGTAGTGTAGTGGTTATCACTTGAGATTCTGACGTGGTTGGTCACGAGATCGCCAAGTTCTCAAAACCCAGGTTCGAGTCCTGGCAAGGCCTTCCTTTTTCGCATACGGCCCCACCTAGTTCACGAACGCATCTGCTGCGACCCGTCATTTCCCCCTGCCTCTAGTTGCCGGTAGGGTGATGCCAAGTACCACCTTTCTGATAAGGACGTTTGCTCGCTACCAGCCCGCCTCTACTCAGCATTGATAGAGGCCATCATGGTAGTATCCGACCTCCGTGTAAATGATCCCCATGAGACATCAGGGTCATGATGGGCAGCAAGAAGTACTCTATAATTATCCATTTATCTTCCATGGAGGGACGAAGCCCTGGGAATATAACACACCGGTACTGCTTGCGATAACTCACCCAAAATCCGCCTGCACTGACCTACGAGTCTGACTCAGTATGAAAGTATTGATTCTCGGGTGAGCACCAGTGTTGGACAACTCTCATCAGGCTAATGAGCTCTCCAGGGCATCTGGCTCCATCGGTTTCCCCGTGGCTCAAGCTCTGAGCAGGGCTGGACACACCGTCTATGGTCTGACCCGCTCCACCACAAAGGCTGAGCAGTTGGCAGCTGACGAAAGTACGTCCCTGCTCAATCTGCGATGTACGTAATTTAAGCCTCTCCAGTTTTCCCCATCGTCGGGGCCCCCAGCGATCCCGACTCGTGGATCCACCTCGTTCCCACCCTAGACGTGATCATCGAAGCCTTGGGTGGTACCGCAGATCTTCGCAATCTTCCTGTGTTCCTTCTCAACACAATCGGCACCGCGGCTCAATCCGCGCGTCCCCCGTCCGCACCCAAGATCTCCTATATTTACACCTCAGGTATCTGGGTGCACGGCCCGAGCCCGAACGAGTTCGTGTCCGACACGACGCCTCTCGCGAGCCCCGCCACGCTCGTCTCATGGCGTCCTGCCGTCGAGCAGGCAATACTCAAAGATGAAAGGGTGAATGGAATCGTGATCAGGCCTGCGTTGCTTTACGGAAAGAGCGCATCGCTTTTCGATCCGCTTTTCGAGGCTGCGGCAACAGGTGGGAAGGTTGCGTGGTACGGAAAGCCTGGTGGGCGCTTTTCCCTCATACACCCAGATGACCTCGCGGATCTGTATGTCAGAACTGCCGAAAAGGCTCCTATACTCGGAGGCCTCGCTATTGACGCTGGAAACGAGAACACAGAACCGGTCGGTGACTTCCTCCAGAAGTTGGTTGAGATTTCGGGTGCAAAGGGACCATATGAGTGGACCACACCGTCGAATCGTACGTTATTATCTTTGTTGGCGTGAATTAGTTCTGACGGCCCTTCATCAGCATTTGAAGAGGCCCTCTCGACCACACAGCTCCTTCGCCCATACCTCGCGAAGTCCCTCCTGGGCTGGCAGCAAAAGAAACCAGGACTGACGGAGGGTCTTCCCATGTACTATGCAGCCTGGCGGGCATCCCGGGGCGGAAAAGAAAAGGGGGAGAGCCTATTCGCACAGCAAACACTGCTTTGAATGGAGTCTTCAGTGGCAGACACGAGTGTCATGAGTAGCCATGTGCAAGATATAAAACGAATTAACACTTCAGCATTTCTGTGATAAAAAAAGGTCACGATAAGAATCTGCAACATGGTAGAATGTGCCCGTCACCAAGTCCCTTCGGAACGCTGGACATACCCGACCTTGACTGAGAGGACTATCATTGGTGGACCTGCTCAGGGTACCCCCGAGAATGGCACCACGCTTCAATGTTATCGCGAATAAATATCTGGAAGCAGGTTACGCAAAGCCAGTGTTCCGGCTTCCAGGACTCGTACGCTTCCGATCGCAGCGCAAAGACCTCGCGAATGAGCTGGGGATAAGGTACAGAGCGGCAGACCTTTTCCAGGGAGTCTGCATCCATATATGTATTCCACCAAGGGAGTTCGAGGTACTCGAAAAACTTCGATGGTGAAAAGATTCCGCGTAGGTAAGACCAGTCTGAAATTGGTGTTTATGGGTCTATCCAGTTCAGGTGAAAAACACACTCACTGGACTCGCTCCAAAGGTCCTCATGTGACCCCAGGGTGCTGCACTTTTGACCTACTTCAGATGCTCAGCAGTGTAGTAATTGGTTTAGGAAAACGTACATCTCAGGTTTTTCGAGATACACTTATGTGGAGATTCTAGGATATCTACTCTTGGCTGATGCTCGGGGGCCATCGTCACCTTGAATACTTCGCAAAACTGTTCATAAGTTGCGGACATGGAAGGTATAACTTTGCGATCTACGCTGGTCATGTTTCCTTGAAAGGCTTGTAAAGTGATGCTCGGGCCCGACCAAACAAGATATCCTTCCAAGGAGCGATAGTCTTAGTTTTCCTTCCAATTTAGCATCGGGTACAGCAAAATGATGATTCACTGACTTTTATGTGGGAGAAATTCAGCTCGGGATGCCCAAGTCGCTAAACTCAACAGGAAGTGCCAGGCTTCCAGGAGCAGTGCCAACTGCGATGGTGCGAAGCTCTGCAAACACTTGGCCTGCATTCGGCCCAACTCCCGCAGAATTTCCGCGAGACGTTTGGGTTTGCTTTTCCCTACACGGGGTGCAGGTGCAGGTCGTCCGTACATAGCGCAGATAAACCAAACTCTGTACACCGCTTTCTGAAATCTCTCCGACTCCTGGAGCGTGAGCTGGCTTGATGCGGATCTGGGATCCTTGTTTCTGAAAATTGAATGAGCATTAAACATCTCGTAGCCTCACACTGAGCGATCACCTCCAGCTATACAGCGACTCGAGCTCTTGGACGACATCATGATTTACGGCAAGTGTGCGAGCTTCTCGCATGGTGATGTTGAGATCGTCGGATAGGGAGTCATCTTCCTTTGGGAGCCTGCTCAGTGGAACGGGTGCAAGCCAGCCATGCCAATATGACTTGATATCGACCATGACCTTGAGGAGCCTCATGGCCTGAGGTGCAACTGGACCCAGATGGTTTGCTATCACGGCCCGGAGCACAGAAATGCGACGGGTCTGAAAGACATCATAGACAAACTTGCAGGATAAGACGAAGTTCTCTAAACTGTAAATGTCGGATAGTGTGGTAAGAACATAATCTGCGAGGTCCGCATCAAAAGGAAAGCTACGTTGGGGACCAGAACGAGAAACTTGCATAATATCAGAGGAACTTGAATCTGAGTGTTGTGTGGGGACACTGATACGATGATAGTGAGCCGATTACAGTCTATGATGGTGATCGACTTGGTCAGGTTCACTTCGAATTCTACGACGCTTTGGCCCGAGTGAACCGTGCTTCATGTATAACTCGAAACGCAAGTCATTCCGTTGAGTAAAGTTTGAGTAATATACAGTAGTAATGCTAACAATGCATCTGCATAACTCCATTCCACAACAAAAAAAGCGCAAAGTGTCCGGGACTCCGGGACACGGTATCCTCAGCAGTCCAAAGAACCTGTAGTATGAAGAACTGCGGGAAAAAAAAGGGTTAAGAACAGAAATGCAATTGAAGCGGAGGTTCGACGCTAGGGGTGACAGGTCCAAGCCCTAAAGGGCTTCAGGGTAGCAACATGCGTGGTGAAGTTGTGCCGACGTCTCTTGAACCTGAAGGTGAGGAGACGATGATCAGTCCCAGATAAGTTTCACAATATCCAAGGACGGTTTACGTGTTCTGGAGAAAAAAGGTGAAAATGATGTTTGGTATGTTCCAAACTTTGACGGTTTACCGACGAGAGCTTCCCATGGACGAACTACCAACTCGACATTATTATTATTGCGTTTAAATCGTGACAGGGTGCCCTCGATGCCTGACAGATAGACCCCCTTCGTAGAGCGCAGGAACGTGAGGAGGACTTGGGTATCTTTTTTTTTTCCAGAACAAAAGCGTTCAAGAGCTGAGGGTTCCGCTTGAATTGATGCCACGGGCTGTGAGTATCCAAGCGACCCCGAAGGCGACGACACCTCCAAATGACCAACCTGAAACAGACGGTCCAGACTTTCAGCATGAGACCACTGCATGACCAACTGACCTCCAAGAATCAAGGCATCTTTCAGATGCCTTTCGAGAGCCCGAGCGTACGCTTCAGCCATGCCCTAAATAGTTCCCCAAGGCTCATCGCTGACGAAACGAGGATTGTTGAGGCCCCATACATCACGGGGCAAAGGCGAGAGGCGTTCATAATAACTAATCCACCGTCAATAAGAAACAGTAGACCGTGCGAGCGGTCGGGGCACTGCTGCAGAGGAACCAACGGTACGTCGAACGGAGGTTGCTGGCGTTCCAGAGCGGATTCACCAGGGGTCTCGACCTCCGAGCCGTTTCCGTTCATCGGGATGGAATCGGCCACCAAGAACTCGTACAGTGATAAAAAGATAGGATATGTTTTGAGTAATGGGTCTGTTGAGTGTGACCCGCAAAACCTGCTGCGCCTCTATGGATTCAAAACAGTCGAGACGGAGAGCGGAAATCAGAGTTATCTGCCCGATGGTGACAATATCAATATCACGGTCGCCCCGATCATGGGCAAGCAGGTTCCATGGCCAATGCCGACCCAGGCGTCGATTCCAACGAGATGGGTCCGTGATGTTCTAGCGCTTGTAGACCGGACTCCGCGAGAAAATATGACGACACTCGGAGCAAAGACGCTGGGACGCGTATCGCGGCTCGGATGAGGACCGACCGCAAGTTTGTCACCGACAAATCTTTTATGTAGGAGCCTGAAGTGCCGCCCGCTACTGTTCGGTTGCCGTACATGTGTGTCGTGCAAAGTTTGCTAACATCGCTACAAGGAATAGACTCAGACTCTCCGTTTTCCTCCTGGATTCAGCTGCGCAAACAGTGGGATGGAGATTCCGTAGAGGGCGAATATCGAGGCAAGCATGATGTACGTCCTACAAAGTTCAATAGGCTGATGGACTTGGGTTACAGGCACTAGTCATCAGTTTGATAGGAATACACAGACACGATCGGCTTTCTCATGGTGGGTCTTGTTTGCATTCTTCACTTCGAGTCCCCCGCTACAAGTTAGGATTTGAACCTTGACTTTGGAATGTCCGTCCTTCAACCTCAG